ATATTAGAGACACAGTGGAGGTAAGAAATCGTGTTCAGGTGCTAAATGTCCATGTAACACTCATCAGTTATCAGTTAACACTTGACTTCAACAGCTAAGTGACAAGAAAGTTCCAGTTATTCAGAAATCCCATTTTAAAACTTAACTAAGCAAATCTAAGACCTTCTTATAAAAAAATAAAAGAACACTGATGATCATCAGCCTGTACACTTGTGATAATGTCATTACAAAACAAGGCTATATCTCTAAAGTTAACAAAATAGTAAAGTTACATAGTAATAATTTATGGAGTGTTAAGAAGTTTCTATTATAAATCTTTTGGATGTTTTTAATTCAGTGAAAAACCCCTGTCAAATGTGTGTATATTTCTTATTGATAATATATTTCAGTGCAGTTGTTGTACAGAGTCTAGAGACGGGAAATCATCAGATTCTCCCACAAAAAGTAACATGGCTCATAAGGGAAATGCAAAGTAACGTCTCATTAAGTTTGTTTAACAGAACATCGATGGATAAATGATAACGGAGACTGATGCAATAGCTGGGTCCTGAAAACAAACCTGCATGTATTTACAGGCAGAGCTCAACTGAAGTCCAGCATGTGTCAGAATATTCGAGCATTATGAGAGAGAAAGGAAAAACACAACAAAAAAGCATTTTTTTCTCTTGTCTCACCTCCCACTATCACATACTGACGTTCTCTTGCATTGCAACAAAAGTACAACTGAGGTGAAACGCAGCCACCATCCAGAACCGTCTTTGTTTTGTATGTGTGTGTTTGTGGAACCTGCATATCGCCATGGAGGTGCATGCCCAAGCTTGATTTTTTTTTCATCTGAAATTAAAACTGTGCATGCAAATACAAGAACAAAACTATTCACTGACAGAACGATAGACACACAGGAAAGAAGCAAACTTGTTAGTTGGTTAAGCTCTAAAGAAAATGATCAGGTTTTGTCTTTCAACCACACAATATGAAAAGGCAATGCCAGCAATCTTATCTTCAAAATCAACTCTGTTCTGGTGTTTTACACATTGATTCATTATTTGAAGGGATAACTGGCTTAATATCAACATAATTGGTGAGATCGCTGTCTGAATTAATATAATTTACACAAATCTATCGATTTTAAATGATATTGCCTTGATGACAGATGAGGACATAACTGTTAACTGACCACAATGCTCCTCTTAAACTAAGTCTCAGAAATAGGTCACTTATTGTTATGGTATTTAATCTTTTTTTATTCATACAGTGTCCTTGCCTCTGTTCCTGAGCACCTAGGGTTGTGTTGATGTTGGCTGCTGCAGTCATTCCACAGAGGATTTTTCTTCCTCTAAGGCAGTAAGCTTGGCTCTTTCTTCCCGTTACAGGGAAGAATCATAATGTAGGGTCTGATATGACCCTCATGCTTTTTCTCTTTGTTCCATCCCTTCTCTTCCCCACCCAGGGCTTTTTTAATCTGTTTCCACTCAGCTAAGCTAGATCCTCTCGCTCCAGGTAGTTTTTTTTTTTAAAGGTAATGTCATGGAGCTCCTGTGGCTGTTTCCTGTTCATTTCTGTTCAATACAAATACTTAAACATAAACAGTTTGATTAAATACCTTTATAAAAAATATAATACAAGAATTAACCAGGCAATAACAAACAAAAAAATCATAACACCAACTATACACAAACGTCTTCTGGCTCTCTCTTCCACAATTTCATCACTCCCTTGATACGAGGTGGAGTCGGGGGTTTTTTACTTTCACTGCTCCGCTGCGGTCTTCTCTCAACAGATCTATTTTTTTTTAATGTTGGCTGATTCTGGCCCAGTGTTGGCTCAGTACCTGGCCTCCGCCCTTCACTCTCTGGCCTCTCCACAAGCTCCCACACCTACCTGCACGCAGAGAAAGTATCCACTTTCACCCATGCTCTGTCTCCCATATCACTCAACTCTGTTTCTCTTTGATACACACAAACACACACACGCACTCCACCCCCTTCTTTTTGGGCCAATACCATCTTTTTCTGTGAAATCTGATACCAAAAGAAAGATGAAAGAATTAATGCTTCCACGTTTGCTCATCCTCAAACTCAACCATCAAGGACACACAAAGGAAAAGTACAAATTACACAAATACACAAATTGTTCATGTGATAACAATACAAAACAAGATTATAAATCGCCATCACAAATTACCAGAGATTAAAAATGTATTTTTCTCTTTCAACACAATGAATTAACACACTTGACAGTAACAGCACCTGAAATGTGCAGGGTTATAGCTAATATGACAATGAACAGGTTTCGTCTCAGCTGCCATCTCATCTCATGTTGATGTGAAATAGCAGCTGTATTTGTCCCTCTCTCTCTATGACGGACCCTAAGGTCAACTCACATCAAACCAACAATAACGTCCCTCCTGCCCCCAGCTGGACACGTCTGTCAACAGTTATCTACAGTTCCTGATCGTCTCCACCTTCATGACTCGACTCCCCTGTTGTGATAAACACCCCCTTCACCAAAACTGGGGTTCCAAACTGAGCTGAATATCGAGAATTAAACCACCACATCTGCTGTGGTGGAAACCTTCCAGCTGAAGTTGTTGCTCACTGAATCTTGCGTCTCTAACTGCTCATTCATTTCTTAGTTATGATGCGAGACTCATGATTTAGCAGACAATAGCAAAACGTCTGATTTTATTGTAAATCACTTTCTCAAATTGGCAGGGTTGTCTAACTTAAAGGAAAAGGGGGAAGGTTGCGACAGAAAATGTTTTTGAAATAGTAAGATAATGTAGTGTCTGTATCCGATCAGCTGAATGTCTAGGGCCTACACCCCATGCTGCAGTTTTTCTGAGGACCAGCTGAACTGTTTACAGAAGAGAAAGCCTTTTTCATTCAGGTCCATTCTGCAGCCTCCGGGGTACCACAGATCCCTCCACTGTTACTACTGTTACTGGATAGCAGGGAGGGGTGCACACAGTTAATTGAAGCCTACTGTCTGGACTAGAGAGAAAGAAGCCTACTGCTTAAAGCCCAAGTTTATCAACAGCATCGTATGATGCCCTTACAATCAAGTAGTAAAAGATACAGCATCACAAAGCCTAATACTCATTCACCAGTTTTTTATTCACAATACAAACTTGTTATGTGTCCCTCCTGTTTGACGGTGAGCAGCCAAATACTTACTGCTTATGTGACAATGACAGATTTGGATTTGATTCATCAAACATCTTAGTTTTTTACTTGAGCGTGATAAATGTATCAGTCGATATGAGCCTTTCACAGACATATCAGGGTCTGCCTTTATGTTTGCTGATATAAAAATGTTTATTACATAATAAACAATGCAGTAAATCTTACCTTTATAGTCATTAATAACTAATTACATTTATTAGTCCACCCTCTAGTTTTGATCTCGACAGCAGACAAACCTAATTGTTTTATGACCAAATTTGCAAAGAGACAAAGATGCTACTTATTATCTGTATTGTGAGATTAGAGATTCACATTTAAACCTCAACTAAACTAACTATTAATTCAATCTTTCTTGTCAAAGGCCCATTCTTTGTTCCTTAACAATGCGTTAAACATTGATACACCTCTCCATGTTTTAACTACAGTTCTTTTGTTGATGTGCCCTGTTACACACAACATCTGTTGCACTTCTATTCACGCTGGGAGAGAAAGCCTTGTGATTCTCCGAGATGTTTCGGTGTTTTTCCCCTGTAAAGAGGGTGTATTTTGGTAGTTCTTCCTCACTCTAGATGACGTCTATGGACAGACGATGTCGCAATTTTACCCTTGATGACGACAAATTGTTAAGACCGATGAGGTTAACTGTGATTTCTGAATATATACAAATAAAATTGATTGATTGAGTTGTAGCATATCAAAAAACAGCAAAAGATCTGTTGAACAAATATTACCTTCATGACTAACTTTTCGCAACTTAAATCTGCAGATGCTTAACTTCGAGCGCAACTTTGGGCATCTGCTGACCTGTGGCTCCCAATGATTTCCTAACATGACACCTCGTTGCTTCCAATCCTTTCTGAATAACTAGCAAGGGGTTGAATTTGAATTTGTGAGGGAGAAGAGTGACCCCCTCCATCCAGCTCTGGCATCCCAGGAATGTGCGGTGTGCCCAGCACTAATCGCACAACCTTGCTGACTGAGTGAAGTGCACGCAAAATCTCTTTTCCACATATGGAAGCCTCAGGCATGACACAGATTTACACGTATGTGCCAGCTGAGGGAAAATGAAGAGATATGACAAATGTGAATCAGAGGATGAGGAGAAATTATGTGCAATATTAAAAGTGGGGTCAGGAAGTGGAGACAGCAACTTAATTAACTGTCAGACAGACAATATCCTCTTTCCTCCTTCAGTCTGCACAGAGAGTACAAGACCGAGACACACGATCCCAGGTTAGAACGAAAGATGAGCATGTTTGTGATTCACAGGAACCGGTTAAACCTACCGGAACACACACACACACACACACACACACACACACACACACACACACACACACACTGCAGTGTCATTCATGGAGAGATGACCAAAGAGCTGGTTCCATGGTGCTGGTCAGACAGACACTGAAGACTGTGTTACCTGAACCAGGTCGTCTCCTGGATGCGTCACTGAGCTTCTGGTCGAGTTTAGAGGGTTTGAAGAAACAACACCTCACCTACAACTAGCTCGATCAGTCTGGTTTGCGGATCTTTGACTGTTCAACAACTTTCACAACTGACTCACCGCCATCTTGTAACTTTACCTGAACCTTTTTACCACACCGAGCTGTAAGCACCACCGTAGAACCGTCTGAACACACACACACACACAGCGGGCAGACGGAGGAGGGTCTGCGTCTCCTCTGCTCCAGCACCGGGGACCTGGGAGCAGCTAACGTTAGCCACGGTTAGCAGCTACACGGCTCAACGGAGACGCGCCACAAGCTAGTGGACCGCGGCCGAACTCCAGCGCGTGGAGCCGGCGTGTGAACTCACCCTGAAGCTCCCGGAGAAACTTTCCTCTGCTGCCACCGCGGCGCGGAGACGAAGCCTTCCCCCGTTCAGAAGAGCACCGGCGGGTCAACTTTGAGCAAAGTGTGTGACATTAGCCGAAGTCTCACTCTGCCGGCGCCATGTTGAACTGGGGGAAAATACTACATCCGGGAAACTGCGGCCAAGCACCATGGCAACCGAGTTTGCGGGCCTGGGCCCTGAAGATTAAAAATTTAAAAATAAGAAAGTTTTAGCACCAGAAATGTAATATATCAAAAATTATATCATGAGAAACTCATTATACAACATGAAGGAGCAGCATCCCACTTCAGAACAATACAATAAAGTGTAAAAAGTGTATTTATGATGCAAAAATAACTCAGTTCAATAAATCAAAAGTTAGAGAAACAAACATTTCTCCTCGATTCGTTCTGAACGTGTGTTTCTCAGGTGAAATCACAGTTTCTGTTCCCATCACACACTCGAGATGAGATAAAACGTTATCGATCCACACGCTGGGGAAGCTCAGTTGTTACAGCAGCAGGTCAGGATTAGATTAGATTCAGCTTTATTGTCATTGCACATGTCACCAGTACAAAGCAACGAAATGCAGTTTGCATCCAACCAGAAGAAAACATTCAATAAATATGAGGGATACAGGATGAGCCAGACAAGGGAATACAAATATTTAAAAAAAGCAATAGAATGAAAGTAAAAAATGAAATAGAAAATGCTGAGTATGTACTTTATATACACCTTTTAGTGTAGTGGTTTGTATAGAAATGTTATAAAGTAAAGTGTAGTAGCACAGGATCATTGCACGAGCAAGTATAAAATCTAATTCTGGGTCTGATCATGGAGCAGTGGGTAAGAAGGAGGTTTAAGGGGGTCAGAGGTCAGTTTACGCCTCAGGAGCCAACTGATCAATGTGTTATTAGGTCCCATGGATTCATGGACTGGCTCCACAACACACACTCTCAAAGCTGATCTGCACAACAGTGCTGGTAACAGAGAAATACAAAAAGAGACTGGTTGAGTGCCGTAAGTGATTATGGAATCCGGCTGTATTGATGCTGACTGGGCCCCAGATGACAGTAAGTATGAGATGTAATAGAAAAGGTCTCTAAACCCGACATCTGCTGCTGATCCACATCAATGTTTTATGATTGTGCAAGTGCAAACCACATTTTATGTCTCTGTCTCGTTCAAAATAATTGTGAAAGGTGAATCCAGGAGAGGCCCCCTGAGGCTGCGGACCAGAGAGGAACAGCTCGTGGTCGGTTCAGAACAACCGTGGAGCTTGTAAAACCAGAGAGTGTGCAGGATGTCTCTCTCTGAATTAGATCAATCAGGCGTCTTCCTGTGTGAGAGCACAGGCTGACCTGCTTTCAGCCGAGCATGTGATCTGCAACTCCTCCACCTCTGATACTTTGGGGCTGATGAGTGATCCCCCCTCTCCCTCAGCTGCTTCTAGTCTCCTCGAGCACCCCTGACCCCCTGCTGCTGCCGTGCCTCAGCCTGGCAGCAGCATGTCGACCATTCAGGAGGAAACACTTTCTTCAGGAAGAGATGGCATTAGTCAGGAACTGGGCTGCCGGGTCAGAACCGCCTGGGGGATTCATTTATAATATAAGTAATTACTTATGTTATCGGGCAGAAACAACCTAACGGCTCCACCCTTTCCTGTTTTTATTGCTCAGCAGGACAGATGTAATTGTACTGACAGTTTGCTCAATAAGTACAGTGATGCAGAGTGTGAAATAGTGCTGCCCTCAGCGGTCCTCGTAAACTCTCAGACTGAAGTGTCACACAGCACAAAACGATTCTTATTAAGCTTGGTCTGCTTGTTTTGTTTTACAAATAAAGCTGCACAGCACTGCAGACTGTGTCAGTACATTACAGATGTTCTGCTCTTTTATTTTATTCCCCTTTATAATCATCATCCACTGCAGCTGCCCTTCTTATCGCCCCACGTTTATCTGAAAGCTTAAAATGTCTTTTCATTTTGCGGATTTTAAACACACACACATACATTTACATTTACATTACGACACAGTTTATAGTGTCATCAGAATTAGTTTCACCTTCACCAGGTTTGTAGACAAATAGAAATATCAGTAATAATATGACAATAATTTATGGCAGTATAATATTCAACATTTCATCTGATAATACAAACTCAAAGCACTATGTAACCAGTGCTGTAACAAATCCACCAAACTCTGTTCAGAATCCTTCATGTTTAAAAGTTTCCTGCTGAACATTGGAGATAAACTCTGGTTGTTAATAACTTCTCAGTGTTTTTAACTGATCTTAGTTCAGCTTCACTCTTCAACTGTCTGGAGCTGATTGTGACAGTTGAAGCTGTGACTCTTCTCACAGGAGATTGAACCCGCTCACCAGAGTTACACAGAACAGACGCTCGGGGAGTGAAGGAGGAAACTTTCTCCATGTTTACACTCAAACATCAGACTCATCTCAGCTGTTTGGTTCAGTATGAGATCAGAATTCTTTCTCCTCAATCATGTGTGACAGCTGCTTATATTCTGTGTAACACTGGCCTCTAGTGATCAAATGCATGTACTGCAGTTAACTGTGTCTGATGAGCTGATGGGGGAACACAGAAGAATCTTTCTTAGAGCCCAGTGCAGATTAAAACTTTTTAAAACGACCGAGGAGCCAAGAATAAGACAAGACAAATAAAAACGTTCATAATGAAAAATGATACAATTAATAGATTAATAATATTAACAAACAGGCAAAATTTAGTCAAATTTACCATTTTGGATATATTTAAATAATGTCAACTATCAAAAGCAAGGCTGAGGAGATGGGTTCTAAGCTCATACTTATGATTTCAAGTGTTCCAGTGGCTCAGAGTAAAAAGCTGCCTCACCAAAACAAAAGTGTTCTTTTGGATCAGTTATCTGACACGAGGACCCGAGGAGCCTTATTGGTTCTGTGAGCATATGAAGCATGTCTGCATGGTCCATGAAGTGCTTTAAAATCAATTCCAATAATCTTAAAATCAGTTCAGACACAGACCAGTGCAAAGACTTGAGTACATGGCTGAGGTGAACTCTTTCTGGTCAACACTCGGGCGGCAGCGTTATGAAACCTCATAGTCGAGCATTAAAATAAAAGCATCATCATGTTTTTCTGTGTCAGGGATAAATGAGTTTCATTTTTGTGTCATTTTGGTGATTTACATGATCCAGCTCTGAAATAAGTTTATTTTCCTTAAAATAAAACTGCAAAGGAAACTGATGATGAACAATTTTAATGATAAAATAACTCGTCCGGCTTCATTTCTGGTAAAATCTCAGTCATTTTTCTCGTCAGCCTCTAAATTCAGATCGATCTGCTCAATCATTTATCCACAGAGATGTTTAGCTGAGCGTGTTTTCTGTTTTCTGGATTTTCCATGTCGTGTTATTTTGCTGCATCAGTTACATTTCCTGTACATATTTGCATTAATGAAACATTAAACATTCCTGCTTCTCGTCTTACTTCCTGTTTTCTGCCTCTTCGTGATGTTTTCCTGTTTGACTTTTGTGGCTAAACATAGTGTCTCCTCTTCCAGAGCTGTTGTTATAAATAAGAATGTTTGGATGTGATCTGCCTGTTTGAATAAAGGTCATGATAAAGGTCATATGTTGTCTGAGGCTGTAAATTATTTCCAAATCTCCATCCTGCAGATGTTCCACTCAAAAATCTATTCTCATATTGAGCCTGACTTTTGCTCTTTCTTGTGTGTGAATAGAAGAAGAGTTTCAGATTTGACCTTGACTGAGTCACTTGTGCTGAAAATGTTTAAGACTTTGGAGAAAAAAGGTTCAAACAGGAAACAGTTCCCTGAATGACCGAGCTCGCTCCGCAGCTCAGCAGTTTGAGGAGCTTCATCATCAATCCTGCCAGTGATCACCGGCCGGATGTAAAAGAGGCGGTTTGCTGGTGGCTGTTAGTGCTGCAGTCCGGACGGGACGACGAGATGCTGAGTCACAGGAGCCTCGTCGTCGGGTCTCAGCTGCTGCAGCTTGTGAACAGGAACCACAGCTGACATCTTCAGCTGTGGATTGAATTATTGATCCAAGCAGGAACAGCAACACACACACACACACACACACACTTCTGTAAATGTTCCTACCAATGTTTTATCATTATTATTATTAAAGTGCACGTGTCTCTCCTCCAGCAGTGTGTCCACCTCATATATGTGAACTATGGTATATCTTACTTTAAGTTTAAATATTTGCATTTAAATAGTGATGGTAAAATCAAACCTGAAACTCATTGTTTTAAAGAACAGAACTGTGCATTGTTAGAATTTAAAGCAACCCCATGCAACCTTTACAGAGCAACAGCGCCCTCTGCAGCCGAGCGATGATGTGGTTATCATGTGGAGGAAGCAAAACAAAGTCTATCACTGTGTTGAACTTGATCTGACACATGAGAGAAAACATTCCCACACGTTGTGAAGCTGAGAAGTAAAACTCACGGAGGGTCTTTGTTTATTCAACAGGACCTATGACAGTATTCTGTCGTCATTATTCAGACGAGTCTTCACAAACACTCTGCAGAATAATGAGATAAACATGAGAAAGGTCAGTGGATCTCAAGGCTGAGGACGAGCAGCTGCGTCACTGTCGACCGTAAATGTGTTTGAAGTATTCATTTACAGAATTTATGATTTGTTGGTTACAGGATGTGGATGTTGGAAAAATGCCACAGAAGCAGAAATGTTTCAGATTAAAACCAGCACTCAGCTGATGTCCGCCTGCACCCTCGTCCGTTTCTCCTCAGTCTGCCGACGAATGACGACACCACGTTGGAATAGATGCATAGTTTATTACGTCATATCGATAAATTCTCAAGGCTACATCGTAAATAAAACAGTCTAGCAGATTCAGGGACTGTAGAGTACATGGTGAACAGGAAGTGAGGTGAACAAACGTGAGTATTTTTTTTCCCCGCTCATTCTGTGACACGATGCAAGACACAAAGTTGCTCTAAAAAGTTAAAGTTGCTGCAACTACTGAGAGTATAGTGAGTGATCCCCTTGCATTTCATACGGCTACGAGCTACTGGAGATCACAGTTTATGCTACGTCTGCTACAGTACAATATCGCTTTAAGTTCCTCTAGATACCTGAATAAAAAACAGCGTCCAGCTGTGAGAGACCGAAACACAGTTCAGAGTCAGGTGTTGCTCCGTTGGCTTATTTTAAAAAGAAACGTCCTTTAGTGCAGAGCAGTGGGGGCTTCAGGTGCAGCAGGATCTCTGGGCGTTCTTCAGCGGAGGATCCAGTATTTGGTGACAGTGTCTCTGGTGAATTTGAGGGTTTGTTATAATATATTTTGAGATTGTGATGTGGTTTCTAAAAAGGTCGTTCTCCAGGAAAGTACTCGAGAGGGTTCTTTCTTGTAGACGTTCCACAGGGAGTTCAAAGCTTCTGGGATGGATTCAGGGACGTTAAGTCCCGGAACCAAAATGCATTAATCAGTTCACAGGAAACATTGGCTGGGGATGAGCAGTTCTTCAAGTATTATAATAAGAACAGGGGGAAACATGGATGGATTATTGAACAGGCCTATGGGCACAGAGGCTGAGAACACAAACCTCTTGATCACATTATTTCCTCCTGATCGATGCATTTTAAAACTGAGTGTGAGCCGATCAAATCTAATCCATTTTCCTTTTCATTAATGCACCACTGCACTGAGGCTCATGCACAGCATCTACACTCATATTTTCATTATCAAGTCACCCAGCTATTGTTTTTACTTTTAATGGAGCCAAAAGTTGTAATTGTGTCCAAATGATTAAAGAAAGTTCTTAGAGCCCAAAGTGACATATTCATTGTTTTGTTTGAGCCACAATAAAAAAACTATAAGATATTAAATTAAGAGTAAAATATACAGATAAAAGCAGCAGCACTTCACATCTGGAGTATTGTGTCAGCGTGGATCTGCTCAAAGCTTCTCAACAGCAGCTCTCCTGGATCTGGTTCATCCGAGGAGCTTCAATGTGCCCAGAGGCCTCTGTCTCATGATCCGTCCATGATTCACTGGATGATTTGTTTCCGTGTCACTTTCATTTTATGGCTCAAACTCAGTGAAAACATCCAGAACACTGAATCAAGAAGAAAACAAAAGATTCCCGGAGACTCTGTGAGACTCCAGCTGCTGGACAGAAGAGGACAACCTGTCCTGTGGCTCGAGCTGAGTGGAAACAGTGGAACGTGAAAACCTGTCAGGTGAGTGTTTGGATGAAGCTGCCCCCCCCCCCTGCATACTGCATGCAGAGCCCTGCTGCCCCCCCCCCCTGTCCTCTCTCAGGTCCTCAGTCAGCATCTCAAACTCGGGCTGCAGTCATGTCTCTGAGCACCGTCCCCCGCTGCAGCCTCATGTCAGGTGTGCGCGCGTGCACCAACTACATGATGCGTGCGTGCGTGCGTGCGTGCGTGAAGTGTGGTCATCCAATCCTCGGCGCGCCCTCGGTGCGGTTCGGTAGTTAGGTGCCGGTGGCGGTGCTGTTGTTGTGCGAGTCCGGAGTCCAGAAGAACACGTAGTAGATGACCAGGATGAACGCGGCCACGGACACGCAGAGGAAATAAGCGATCGCCATCGCCACTTTCACCCAGACCTTGTTGGACATGTTGACGTGCTTGGCCCGCAGCTCCCCGGGGTAGCTCGCCCTCCGCTTCATGTCTCCGTTCAGCCTCTCCGCGGTCCCCTGCCTCTCGGCCGCTCTCATCTTGGAATCAGCTCTGGATCCTCGTCCTCCGGTTTCCGCTCCTCTGGCGGTTGTGTGTTCATCTGAGTCCGGACAGCAGAGCCAGCAGCCCCCCCCCCCCCCCCCCCCCCCCCCCCCCCCCCCCC